CCTCACCAATCAGGCCCCAGAGACTCACCCTCCATGTCCCCTGATTGGCCCCTTGGGTCACCTGAAGGGGGATAAAAGGAGCTGCCTCAGGAGAGACCAGCAAGGGACAACAAGGAAGGAGCTTCACAGAGCTGAGCCAGTGGGGTGGGAGCAGTGCCCCAGAAGAGCCTTATGGAGCAGGACCTGCAGACAGCAGTGGGACCCCCAGCTGTGCGGCGTGTGGCCGGCAGGAGAGGCCCCCCACTGGGCTCCAGGATCCCCTGGGAGAGGCTGCAGCCAGCAGGAGAGGCTCCCCAGCTCCAGGAAGGATCTGAGCAGCAACCTGATGGGTTCCCAGCTCTGCTTCCAGCTCCTCCAATCAGAGGCCAGACAGCTCAACGTGAAGCCGGGGCTCCGGGAAGGTCGAGACCCCTAGCAGGCTGGGGCAGTGCTACTAGTGGTGGCTGTGTGGCAGCATTCTTGCCTACCATGTGGGAGATCTGGGTATAAGTCCCAGCAGAGGTGACTTGGGGTGAATGAGATAACAAGAAGCAAATCTTCTTGCAGTGGAAAGGGGCCATTGTGTTTTCCCCCCTTTCTCCCCCTCCAGGTACCAAGGCCCTATGTTTTCTTGTCATTTGACATTTTGCGTCTTGTGCCTTTTCATATTTCACCAACCCATATTGTTTGTTCTGCTGTTTGTGTTTTATATTTTGTTAAGCCTGTTTTTGTCAATGATTGTAAGTGTCTAACCTTTGTTGAATCCTGCCCCCTTGGGGCATTGTAGTGTCCACTATACCCTCTGATTTATGCCTGTTATGTTTCCAGTATTAAAAGGTATATAGTTAAGTCCCCATTGGTGGTCTGGCTCTGCTCTATAGGGGAGGAGAGTCCCTACACCTCCCACAGTGCTTGTGCACCTGCTTTGATCCCTTTAATTGGAGAGGGGGTACCTCTTGGAGTACGGCCCGGGTTACATAAGTAATAGAGTTTTACTACAACCCTTAGAAAATGATGATAAAGTCTAATACATCTCACTTTTAGGCATTCAAAGAATACTCAAGAAAAACTTGATTTCAACAAACATAAGATATTTATTTAAATAAACAAATCCATTATTCATAGTAGCACACTTTGTTTATCTTACAGATCCTGGAAGCGGGAAATCAAAAGGGAAAAAAGACCAAAGATGTGCCTATGTATTATGAGGTAGGTTAAATCATTTTTTGCAGTCAACATTACTTTTTGAGTTGTATATACCTAATTAGTTGTTTTGCGTAGGCAAGCCAAAAAAACTCCTACCCAGTCGGTTATAGCTGATAAAAACACCTGTGGTGCCAAAATGCCGAAATTGCTTCCTTTCTGTTCTGTTGCACCTTAATCAGGAGTTCACTAAAATATCTGTGCAGAAAGCAAAAAAGGAGTATATGAGGAGCAAGTTATCTTTTGGGACATTGATTTTATTATCATGTTCATGATATATTCTGTAGATGTATTTTGGTGGTGGGCTCATATTAAAGAGGTATAGCTGAAGTTTGTTCTTTTGGACATTCATGGTAATTGACATGCTTAACCCTTCTACACTAGAGAAAGAACAGACCTCTAGAAACAGTATTCATACTGGACTATCCCTATGACAGCTACTTGATGTAAAATTCTAACTTGGTTGACCCATTGGGGTATATTTGAAGAGAAAGGCTATGAAATCCAGTAATTAGAAAGTTGCTTAAAGTTTGCATTTTAGCTCACTACTGAGTAATTATTTTTTTGTGTCTCTGTTTTTGATGGATTTTATAACAGGTCTTTTTAATTACAGTCTGTTTTTCACTAATGCCAGAATACTATCTGAAAACATCCTATTACCATGACTCTGAATTTTATGCAATTAACCCTTCCCAGTAAACTTATTTTATGCTTTTGGGATCCTAGAGTCTTTTGGGGATTTTGACAGAAGGATTTTAAAGTTTGGCCCTATAGAGGAGCTTTGCATGATACCTATATTTAATTACTAATAGCAGTTTTCTGGTGGTGTGCATACTTATTAAATTCCAGGTGTTAATGCTGTGTCTCATTAGCTGCTTACTGTATTCGTAGATTCATAGACTGTAAGGTTGGAAGGGACCTCGGAAGATCATCAGGTCCAGCCCCCTGCACCAAGTAGGAAAGATAATTGGAGGTCAGGTGATCCCAGCAAGGTGACTGTCTAGTTTTCTCTTGAAGATTTCCAGGGTAGGTGATTACACCACCTCTGGAGGAAACTTTTTCCACAGTCTAGACACCCTGACTATGAAAAAGTTATTTCTAATGTTGAGCCTGAATCAATCTTTTAGGAGTTTGTGGCCATTACTCTTGGTTTTCCCCTCGGGTGCCCTGGTGAACAGTTGCTCACTGAGCCCTTGATGTACTCCCCTAGTGCAGTGGTAAGCTGCCACCAGGTCCCCTCTCAGCCGCCTTTTCCTCAGGCTGAAGAGTCCCAGATCCTTCAGCCTTTCCTCGTATGGCTTGCCTTTTAAGACTCTGATTATATGGGTGGCTCTTCTTTGGACTCTCTCAAGCTTGTCAATGTCCTTGTTAAAATGTGGTGCCCAGAACTGGACTCAGTACTCCAGCTGTGGTCTCACTGGTGCTGAGTAGAGTATTCTTCAAAGACACTTTTTTAAACAAAGAATATAAAATACCTGCCTTGACCTTTTCTGACATGGCTGTTGCAAACTAAAAGACTGATCACACTATGACAAGCATAAAGATTCTTCCTCTCTTGGCAGAGTTTTGCTCTTCAGTATTCCCTATGGGTGTCTACTGTAGAGTCTGCATTCAACATTTTCATTGATGATCATGATAAAAAGGTTCAGAGTGAATTCACAATGTGCAGCAGAGGTATGCAGTTTTGACCTGAAATGAGGATTTTACCTTCTCGGGAACAAATATATTATTCAATGGCAGAAATAATCCCTGTAAGTTTTCCACACTTGTGGTTTAATCTTGAGAGAGACTGCAATCTTTTTAGGCTGTGGGGCAGAATGACCCAGTTCAGGTCAAAGGTGGGTGAGCAGGCACTAGGATCCAGCTGCTACTACTACTTCTCCATGCAGCAGCACAAGGAAAGTGACCACTGTTGAAGCCCCCACATAAATGCCACCAAAGCCCCAAGTCAGCTGGCCAGATCAGATGGCTCCATGATGATTTTGTGTTTTCTTTCATGACACTGATAAATATAGCATAGGGTCAAGAACTGATCCTTGTGAAACTTGAATAGAAAAACATCCATTTGAGGATTCATTTTTTTACAATTATATTTTAAGACTTGTCAGTTTTTAAATCTTTTAATACGTTCCCTACTAATCCTGTATCATTCTTGTTTCTTAATCTGAATGTAATGGGGTACCTACTTCAAAGTCTTAGAGAAACCTATTACATTTATGCTATTACCATCATCAACCAAACTTGCTATTTCATCAAAGATATCTAGGTAGCATAATAAAATCTACTTTTCATAAAATCACATTGGTTGGTGTTTAATTACATTTACTCATATTTAATGTAGTATTAATTGACTCTCATATTAGCAATTCTACTGTTTTACACAAGGGTTAGTGCCAGACCTATAATTATCCAGGTAGTTCCATTTCTGCTTTTTAATATATTGACAATATTAACTTTTTTCCTATTCCTTGGAATGTCTCCAGTGTTCCAAAAGTTATTAAAAAGTCATCATTAACAGACCAGAGAGCATCTTGGCCAGCTCTTCTAAAACTCCTGGATGCAGCATATCCAGCCTGCTGATTTAAAAAAAATGTAGTTCTAGTAGCTGCTGTTTAACATCCTCCTGTTAGGGTGGATTAGGTTTGGGGCAGTCAGTACAAGGGGTTGGGTTAAAACAGGAGTTATGTGGAGAGTGCTGAGTTCAGTCCAAGTCCAAGATATCAAGATGGGAATTGCAATGAAATCAGGTCAGAGCAAGTTGTTGATTGTACCAGGAGGTTCAAGCCAGGAGCACACAAAGGCAGAGAAGGTGAGAACAGAGTAATCCATGATGGTAGCAAGCACACATAGTGTGGGAGCAGAAACAGGCAGGGATCCAGGCAGAAGTGATATACAGGCTCAGACTAGGCAAGGGTGCAGGTAGGAATTTAAGCAAGGATCAAAGCAAAGAGTTAGTCTAAGCAAGGTTCAGGTGGGATCTAGGCAAGAGCAACAGGCAAGCAGGGTCTCAGACAGGTCAGGAAATGCAAACAAGTGGTTTGTTGCTCAGAAAGTTGTCTGCTGTCTGGTCTCAGTTTATAAAGGCCTGTGGGGCTTTCTTTGTGAGGACACTGGGGATGACTCTGCCAGTGCCCTGATTACCTACATCTAGGGCCTGCAGCTGGATGAGTGTCCATGGTTTCTCTTGGAATAGAATATATTTCATCATCATCATCATCATGTATGACCACATGTAGCTTTTTCCCAGATACAGAACTGAAATATTTATTTAATACTTTGGGTGTTTTGTAGGCTATAGAGGCCTTAAGCTGTTTTAATCATAGTAATTACATGTATCTGCTTGAACTATGGTTTGGCTAAGAGGAGAACAGGCAGAGGAAATGCTGGAGCAAGAGAAGGCTGAAAGGTGTTAAATATTTTAGAAAGCTTAAGTAAAATGGATGGAACAAAAACTAGAAGTTATGAGGTCATCTTGAGTATGCTTAGCAATTTGATAATAGACAAGGCTAATTTTACAGAAGATGATGCTTATATAGGGAATAAGACTTGAATAGGGAATAAGAATATTGTGACAGGAGGCACGTTTGGGGCTGAGTCTCGTGTCGGCCCACCCACCTGTCTGCAGTGCAGTCCACCCTGTCTCACCTGCCACGACTTTGCTGTTCCCTTTACTGGTGGTATAATGCGGGAGGTTGCCCATTACATGCCCTGATGCCAGGGGGCACTACCCACAGCTCTGAACCTCCCGTACACTGCGGCCCATGCCTCACAGATGGCATCTCAGTTCTTAAAGTCTCCAGCCCCAAACTGGGCCCTGTAATGATCTAGTCTGGACCCCAACTACATTCGTTTCATTAGGCAGCCTACTCCACGCTCATTCTCAGATGCCAAACTCCCTGCACTCTTCTCCCTCTCAGGCACGGCCCCCCTGGGACCTTTCACCATGCAGGGCCTGGCCTTACCTCCAAGGCCAGTCAGAACCCCAGGTCCCTGGCTCTGGGCATCCCTTGTGATGGGCTCCTGGCCCTTTTGACCCTTCTGGTCCTGGCCCCAGCATTGACCAGTTGAGGGTGCCTCAAGTCAGACTTCTGAGCAACTAGCCCATACTCTCTTACATGGGTCTGCCTTCTTGGGCCCTACTATAGGGTTACCCACGCGGTTGTGGGGGCTGGGGTTATTAAGGCACCCTGAGTCACCTTTCATCATGGAGGTTCACAGTCCTGGCATTTGAGTGGGGCTGTTGCATCACCAGCAGTCCCACTAGGCTTCCCTACCCCGGCAGAGTTCTAGGTCATGCCCAGGACAGGAAGCCTCCAAGCCATCCCCATAGCTCCTGCCCTTACCTCCAGGATGTTGTGAGCCTTAGCTCAGCTGGGTGATGTTGTTCCCTCAGCTGCAAGCAACACACTGCCAACTCTGCCTGGCTGACCTTAGTTTTAAAATAGCTGCCCTAATCAGGCACCTGCTGGTTGGGTGCTTGCCACTTTAAGGGCTGGAGCAGGCAAAGTTACACTGCCACAAATATATTAATATTAATTAGAGTAGTACCTATTAGGAACTCTGTAATCTTTTTTTTTTTAAACTTACTTAGTAAGTTTTGTTTTTTAAAATTTTAGCCAAACTATAAAGTACAAAACCTGGATTCACTTTGGAGTTTTTGGTCTTCAGTCTTGAACTACGGTTCTTGCTGAATTGCCCACTTCCAAGTGTACCTGGTTAGTGCTATGTAGAGACTGGGTTTTGAAACCTTTGTAGGAAGGTCCTTTCTCTAAGAGGATAGGCACCTGTTACAGCAGGGGTCAGCAACCCCCAGCCTGTGCACCAGAGAATGGCACATGAGGACATTTTGCTCAGCACACCGCAGTCAGACTGGACTCTGGGCAGCTGCTACCAGCCATGGAGCCCACACTGCTTGAAGCAGGCAGCTGGGAGTCTGCAATTCCTGCTGTGAGCAGCCCAGGTTCCAAGGCCAGCAGCAGCTGCCTGGAGCCCGGGTTGGCTGCAGC